GCGGTCACCGGTGACCGCGACCTATTGTTCTTTAATTGTGTCTATAAAACCGGTACTCGACGAGTTAAACTTCGAACTAATTTCGACAGCTGTACTTGCTATTACTCAGCAAACAACACATTAACAAATTAAAACAATATACCACTTTATGTTTAACTTAATAAAATACAAATATCTTAATCAGTGACAAACGTTACCAGTGTCCATTATTAACAAATCGTCATCGTCACTGTCATTGATATTCTAGTCAAATATGATTGTCATGAGTCGATTTTTTCCCGTGAGGGAAAGTTTCAAATAATCCTGATCCATCGTTACACAAAACTTGTAAGTTGTTCGCGTCTCAACGGATAATCGAGTTTATACTTGGAGGTCCGCCATCAATCATTTATCCCGCTTTCTCCCGCGGACGGATCTGCACCGAGCTACGCGGAAAAACTTTAAAGTGTTCCAACTTAGTGTGACGTATCGCACACTCGCTTGTTACTTGAATAATGTCTCTCAACTATTTATAACTGGTGGACTACTTCATGTGATCTTCTAATGTACGAACCTACATCTTGTGGCTACATCATGAGTTTCGTTTTTATGACAACATACCACGACATGCCACGACGCGCCTTTTTCCTTATCCGCTTTTCTATAGAAAATGCCAATCAATCTTTGACATTCTATTAGGTCTAGGGATACGTCGAAGATATTGTTGGCTGGTTTTATTTAAACTAAGGTATCGTAACTGAAGGATTTTGGAAACAAGGAAAAATCTTGTTAATATGTATAAATAGAGTGGGTTGGTGTTTTCTCATACGCACACGTATATGATGTTTTCCTTAAAAATAAATTCTATGGTTATCACTTTAAAACATCAAAACAAAAAGGACTATAACTTTTTATCTGGTTAAGGTTAACCGCGCAAATATTATTGACGATCCAATAAATCTGGTATCAAGTCACTCGGAGTGAGGCAAATAACACAAGTAGACACGAATCTATACGGATACTGGTATGAGTGTTTTATGAGCACTCAAGTGCCTTCCGGACTGGGATGTTTAAAACTCTCGCGAGCAGGGAATCGAGAACATTCCACTCGCACTCACGACACGACAATGTCGGATTTGATCTCGAACGACGACATTTTTATGAGCGGTTAAAAGTTTATGAATATGCTTACTGCTGCAGATTTTACTTGCGTTGTTTATTTAAATCTCTCAGATAAATCTACTGAAACGCTTTCTTTTCTCTCTGAGCACGAACCAATGAAAGTTTGAAGAAAATCTTTCCGTTATTCAAATTCTATATTGAATTCAACCGTTGTTATCGTCTACTTTTCAAGTCTACTGATTTAGGTCTCCTATTCAACAGAGGTGGACAATGATTACTTATAATAAAATACGATGAAACTCTCATATTAAAATTATACTACCTATTTTATTCATATTTTACAGCAAATTTATAACAAAAACACAAAGAGATGAAACAAAATAATGTCAGCAAAGGACATTTAGAGTTATATCAATTTTACCGCAATGTTATACGAAGTAATAACGTTTTTATATCACCATCAAGAGGAAGAAATAAACACGGCAACATGTAGAAAGCGGCTGCGGTATATAATGATAGCACAAAGGCCTTATTACGTAAACAATAAAGCCTAGACTCATGTATTGTATTATCATGATACTGTTTACTTGCTTATTTCTATTAGGAGAATGAAACCAATAATTAGACAACAATCGAAGCCAATATCGAAGTAAACATGTCGGATAGTATTACTTATTAGTAAGAACTAAATAATAGATTTATTATGTTATAAATACAATAAGCCAATTAACAGATAGAGTAGGTACATATCTTGACAAAACACAATATCAAATTTCGTAAATAATCAACAATTTTCGTACACAAGTCTCTATGTCATTGTCTAATAATAACATATTGATTCCAATTAGCTTCAATAACAACGTATCGCATTAACAAAACAAACATGTACTCGGCTCTCGGTGCTCAGTACAGGTGGAAACTCGTATAATTCATCTGAGAACATTATAATAATAGTCAAAGTCGACTGTTTTGTGTTATAACTGCAAACACCGCTTCTGTGAAGCTCTAACAATACGGCATCGTAAAAATTAAATTACAGCGAATCTCCAAGGAGGTTTCAATTTCCAAGCAAGAATCCGGACTCGAGATTCCGGCTCCACTTACGAAATAATATTGCATCCACAAATACTCCTTTTCCTTATTACTTTTCGTCTCATACCACACTACAATGTTAAATCAAATGAATTAGCGATCCTAACTAATAAGAACGTCGAGTAAAATCAGAGCGACAACGTTGAATTATAGAGCACCTGGAATTACTTTCAGCGACGTAAATAGAAATGTTAATTTGAGACTGTAAAAAGTATCGCAGGAGCGTAGCGCAACAGCAAATTAGAGGGAATGGAATATAGTTTACTTTAAGTTAAACTTATTACGGTCCTCGAGAAACAAGCAGTGGGAGGCTCGGCCGGCGCGCGGGTCAAGTGCCCAATTTGTCACCCGCGCAAACTTCCGACTACTTCGGCCCCGGCCTGTTCGATTCCATTAAACTTTCGAGACCTTTTGAAGCTATTTTCTTGTTTGAATCAAGATTTGCCTAATTCATTTCGGTGTCTACCTACTTGAACGACTTCGACGTTGGCTTAACGTTTGTAAATATGTCACTCACAGATGGTGTCGTTATTAGAGTTGAAGGAGTCATCACTTGAGGAGTAATCCATGGGTGATAGTGTCCTAACTTAAGTGAGAGTACGACATCCAAATCAAAGTCTCCGGGGCGCTTACAATGCGCTATCATAAAAATTAAATTACGGTAAGAGTTTCTGTGTAAGTGCGCGCCATTTCAGAAGGCGGGTTAGGCGCGGGCGAAGGAGCCCCGCCACATCAAAGCGCCTCATCCTGCGCCCGGCTCTCTCACAAATCAAATTTACCAGCTTTCTTTCTTTCTTCTTTCGTCAAGGCACTGACACTAAGTATTTGACCCATGGTTGGTTACGTACAAACCTGACTCTATAAAATGTTAAAGGACAATAAAAAGCTGGTCTTAGTAAGCCAAAAATTCATTACAATGTTGCAAAAGCATCGAAGCTAATGAAAACGAAAAGTATAAACAAGGGGAAAGATGAGAAGAGGAAGTTTACCGCGCCGGGGGTTCTGTACTATCTAAAGACTTTGTTTGGGTAAACAATTAGTCTTTTCCCAACATTTTTGAGCAATTTACATTGCTTCGAAGTGGCTTCTATTTTGGGTTAACAGAATTAAGAATTTCAAAGAATTTGAGTATTTTTAATGTTGCGAGTAGATTCAAAGAAATATGCGTGGTTATAAAAGTTTCTAGGAAAAAGTCTTAGGATTTCTCAAAGTGCAAAAATGAGCACAAACTGAAATGTTATTCATAAATCCATTTTCATTCTCCTGTAGAACCAGAACCCTAAGCTCGTCGAAGTGAGAAGTAAAAGAAATTAAAGTCCAAGTTGTTTACGTATACAGACCGGGGGCGCGGGCGCCTGGGGCATAGATCAAGTGGCTAATTTGTCAGAAAGGCAACTTGGTGGCACCGGCGCGGTCTAGTGCGGCCGATGCGATTCGATTAAACTTCAGCCGAAGTACCGACACAAGAACAAGGCCTACTTAACGTGCTTCTACATTTACGGCGGAAACTTAATTAGCCAACTCCGCAGACTCCGTACCGATGTGTACACTGTGAATGTTCTACAGTATTGTAACTTCGCACTATGTGTTTAGAAGTCAAAATGCCAAAATATGTGTATATGCGCCAGAAATGAGTTTCGTCAAACATGAATAAAACTAACGTTTACTACAAACAGGAAAGTCTTGTTTTTAAATATCAGGAAACTTCTTGCTAACTCAAAATGCTCCACTATTAAATTTTACCACATTTTATAGAACCCTTATCTTGAAACTTAGATTAAAGGAAAGTTTGTACACCAACTTTGTTTTCCTACGAAGTGCATACCTATCTATGGTTGTAGATCAACTTACATAGGTACGTAGGTACTTATATTACTGCATAGTTTGTTTGAATATTAAAATTTATTGCCTTTTCGACAAGTTCATAAAGTAACAAGTTCATAATGTTGCTTTAATCAAGACATCGAAATTAAGCCTTAAATTTAGATTAAAAACAGTTTTGTATTTTTAAGAAACGCGAAATAGTACTCGAAATGGTCTTTTGAAGAGCTGTAAAGTTATCGAAATTGAATGAAAATTTAGATACCTAACGAAAATACTATTAATGTAAATACTGGTAGGTTATATAGATTCTTTTAAAATTGATATTGAAATGATATAAGCGTCGTCACTTCATATTCTAATGCCCGTCTGCCCTTGTTTCACCTTTGGCTTATTTAAAAGAAATGTGTTGAAACATCAGTCACTATCACAACTTTTGCTATTTGTCATAGCCTTTGTTTTAAATATAGAAGACAAAAGAAAATTCAAATCAAATTTCACCATTCACTAAGCTCTGACACTTTTTGAAAGTCAATTTTACAAAGTGTAGTAGTATAAGCGCTGTTAAACAATATTTGATTCCCGGAGGGTTAGACCGAGGTGCTTATACGTTATATATACGTAGACGTAGGCACTATTCCGTAGATACTGTCTAAGGTATGTGTCAAATATATCTGTCCCTTTCATAAAATAATAAAAGTAACGCTGTTTTGAAATAATGTACTAATTATGGATAGACAGAGTACTTACAAGTCGCAGTTACGACGTTTCGGGTTGTATTCCCGGATCGGGATCAATCTTATGAGTGTTTATTTTTTAGATAATTCCTGATATATAGCCAAGTTACATTTCCTATTTTACATGTAGACCTACCATGTTTACTATGAAGAATTAAAATCATGTGTTTCATTGTGTGTCCATCTCCATTGTAAATAAAAAGTCTACAAAATGAAATGCGTTTAATAAAAAATGGTTTTTTTTTTGTTTCAGTTGCGACATGTGTTGTGATCGTCACCTGTTCAGAAATAAATGCGTTTTCAATTTATTTCTCCATTCAATGCGATATTACTTAAATACGTAGGTGCAGATACTTTGTTTATTCTTTTATTCATAGACCCGTCTAGAATGTCACGCATTATTATAAAAAGAAATGGTAGATTCCAACAAATCTGAGCCCACACAGTTATACAAGTAATTCGAAATTGGCTAATAGTATTTAAATGTAATGGAAAAATTCTGTAAGTAATGAATGAAGATAAGAAAAAACCTTCATAAAACGAAGGATATCACAAATGAAGTCGGCACACAATACATATATAATCTACAAACATGAAGTTGACTAAAATTATCATTTCACTGTAACTTAACATTCTAAACTTACCTTCAGACAGGTACAGTCGATCAGGCTCCGCTGGTTGCTCGCAAGGACGATGGCGCAAGGTGACATGCAGGCTTGGACCTCTAGGAGGTACTTCGGGAGGGGCCGGCTCTGGAGGAGATTCGCACTCCCTTTCACTTGTTTGACCTCCATTGCCTGACGACGCTGGTCCAAAACAAAGGTTAAATTTAGTTGCAATTTCACGTCACATTGTTCGATTAAGGTAAAAAGAGAATAATGATACCTCTATTCGTATTAAAATAAATTTTGTACACATATAGAATATAAAAAAGAATGTCGTCTATGCAGTCGTCCACCTTAATTGACATTTTACTTCCTAATCGCCGAAAATTTCGTTCGTTATGAGCGGGAATACTACAATTGTCTAATTACTTACTTTTGTTTTGGATAAACAAACTATTATGACAAATATCAACATCCTTTGCATCATTCTAAACATACTTCAATACGATAAATCAATCATAAACGAACACTTAATATGATTATGGCATCACGATATTCACAATGTTTGTCTCGCAAAACATGAATACAATTCACTTCGCTCATTGTGCTCTCACGTGCCAGTCACATGCGTTGGAGTTGGAGCAACTATGCTAGGCATCCTTATCAAAGGCATGCACCCACCTCCATAATACCTTCATAATAGGTACTACAGAATACCTAAGTACATATGGCTGCACATCAAACTATGCTAAACCAGTATAAACTGATCGTCGAAAGAACGGAGTGATCACACAAAACAAGATCATGATATACTAGTTTTGTATAGGTCGATGTGTCGCTGTATATACAATAACTAAACTGGAATCCAACACAACGTGTATAGCATGCCTTACATTTCGCGACGCTATTATTATTGTTAATGCTTACAAACGTCATTACATTCCTTGGGTGAAGGTATGCACGATATAATCTGTTAATTAATCAGGGTGCAGTTATTGAAGGACTTGTGAAGGGATCATTTTAGAAGTTGTCATAATTAATTTGTAAACAAAGATGGTTGATCTTTCAATAAAATGTGTTTATTTAAATGTTCCGTCAAACGTCTTTTTTTCTGAGCGATATAAGTAAGTACCAGTATGAATTCTGAGTAGTAGGAACAGTAGGTAATATTTATATCGATGTCGACAATTCCTTACTTTGAACGATAATCGAAGTGCTGTTTTATTAATCGGTTATTCGAATTTTAAATTATCAACACTTAGCGGAAAATGTATTAATGACAACTTTATTGACGGAAAATTATAGTATTACCTATCGACACATTCCCAGAACTATTAGGTATTACGGGTATTACTATTATTGATGTATAAAAATACTAATTAAGATACAAAGCTTAAACCTACAAGGAAAACAATTGGATCTTTTAAATCCCTCAACTAATTTTAGTTCGTTATAGAGTTCCCACTCTAAATAAACACGAAGCCGTACTCTATTTCCACTTCTAGATTTCGATTAGCAACTGATAATGGACCGGGAGTTAGGCGGAGGAACTCTTCGATTGCTAAGAGTACAACAACTGTAATTGGGGTAATCTATTTGGGTTCTTGAGCAAATACCACAGGTAGGTTGGTAGCCAGCCAATTTGCTTTGCTTTAGAACACTTTCTTGTTAAAACTTACGACGTTAGATGAATAAAATGTGTTTTGTTAAGTGGTATTTATTGTTACAGTTATTGGTTCTGGCTTTGATCCAATACACGCTGTTGAAAGTAAGCGCGTGTTGGTAGGCTTTGGTGCAGACTACGTAATATTGCTACGAGCACGCTACGCGCTACGACATTGGCGTAGCGTCTACAATGCTACCCGGCCTTGGCAACATGTTTGTGGTGTAGGCACTCGTTATCTCCCGCATCTCAAAGCAGACTGAGATTTTCAGTACGTTAGATTTTTGTCAGATTCGGTTACATGACGTTATTTGTCTAACCTTTTAAAATGTTAGGATCACTAGAAAAATAAATAAATATTATTAGTAATACATATTACCATTGTTCAGGCAAAGGCGTGCATTGCGCGCGTTGTTTTCATGAGGAAAGTCGTCAGCACGTCGTCGACGCTGCAGAGTACCACTAGGCTCAGCAGTGAATATCTCCTCACCTAGTAGATAATAATGAGCATAATCAATTTCTTAAAGCTTTAATGAACGCATACAAAACCACGGCCGGGGCCTATATAACAAACTTTATACTATTTTTTATTTATATGTTTATGTACAACCCACAAACAGTACATAGGAGAACTCATATATAGATCAAAGGTACATAGTTACTGCATATTCCCGTAAGAATCTGTTTCTGCAGTTTTTCCACAGGAAAAAATATATAGAAAACTATGAATACTCTCATGGAATACTTCAGCAAACGAGCAGATCACCTGATTGTAAGCTATCAGTGCCGCGATTATTATTTTCCATGTTACTTCACTTAAGAATGTTCTGCAATAATTGTCACTTGTGGTGACAAGGTTTTCTTAGGTCCCATTACATTCATTTTAAACATAACATAACATAACGTCATGTCTTTTATCCCCGAAAGGGTGGGCAGATTTGTACATTATGCCACTATACAATGTAACACCGACTTTTCACTATTTATGTTATGAGTCCCATATAATAGGGGGTGAGCCTATTGCCATATACCGGGCACAATTCCAGTCTCCGTGCTACTACTGAGTTTTTTTTAAAAACCCAGTAATACTTTGCCCGACCCATGAATCGTACCCGAGACCCCTTGCCCGGCAGTCGCACTTGCGACCACTCGGCCAATGAGGCAGTCGCAGTGAGTGAGCAGTGGGTAATTTTAAACAATGAACTAAAATTCAAAATATTGCGACGTAACTACTTACCTTTAGAGTTTCTGTTTCTTCTATAGAACCGCCTGTTGGTGCTCTCATGAGGGAATGGAGAAGACTGCCGTTGTGGACTGCTGGCATACCGAGGTAGTTCCTCACCTCCTTCTGAACCATAGATTCGACGCTGTTCATCTGCAACAATTGTTCAAGTTTCATTAGTAAGTAGAAAATATAATGATGACTAAACCTCATGTTCAAATTTGTGAAGCATAAAATGAAAACACACTGTAATAATTTATTCGTACGTGGGATGTTTTTATACCATAATTAATTATGTCTAAACATGAAAGTAAGAACAGTGTTACCAATTTATTTGTTCATTGTGTCCAAATCTTACTTTTTCAATGTAGTGTTAACTCATATTTACTGCCGATCCACTACATTTAAAGCATTATCAATTGAATTAGTTCTCTTGCTGCATTTATAAATAATATTCACAATAAAAAAAGCAATATTAATATTCAAATCGTAACTACAAACAAGATTAACACCACATTTTTTACTTGTAAAAGTTGGCCAACTCTCGGCGTTTCAGTTATGTTATGACTAAGTAATAATTTTCAACACTTTATACAAATAGGTCAGTATAAAAGTTAAGGGCGGAAAGTTTGGAATTTATGAGGCGGTTTGTTTGGGTAGGTAATTCTAAACAATAACAAACAAAATGTATACGTTGCCTGAGGTTGTACGGCGCAAGTCGGCCCGCGGCGAATCGAACCCGCTCTACTACTTCGCCAAACAATCGTACACTATGAGTAAATGTGCAGAAGGCGTACTTAATGTTAGTTAACTTCTACATGGATGAGCGCTGGTTATTTATGTACCTGTGTAATAATTCCAAAGTTTATTAGAAGCATTATGTTTGTACCCAAGTTAATACCACCTAAAATATCAAAACTCTATCATAAACTTCTTTGTAGTCTTATGGAACTTAGGATAATTAAATCAAACATCTACATTAAACTACTTATAACTCATCTACATCCACACGAAAGTACCTAATACCTACCTATATGATTTTATATAAAATAACTTTTCCTGTATTTTTTTCCTGCATTAGTAGTATTTATTTTCACTTGAAATAGATGTTCTGTTCTGATTACAATGTGGCTGTCAGGCTCGGCACCGGTCTGCTCAAATAATCCCTCTCCACGTCGCAAAAACATGGATGCATGGAAAAACAGCACATTTCTGCAGGACGCGGAGCTAATACTATAGATACGTTATGTTATTTGCAAACTTGTTTTCGTGTTATTTCGACTGAAACGCACAGCGGTGCAGAGTGAGATTCATGTTTTTGTTTCAGATATATAAATGCTGTACCACCAGGAAATCAAACTGACTGCACACCCGGTAGCCGATGCCACCCCAATTCATGTGTTCAAACTCTTAAGTCGAGGAAGAGACTTCGTAAATGTTCCCAGAAAACACAATTCGAGCAAAATTCGGAACTTCACAATGAAGTTCCGAAAACGATGAACAAAACCGCGAAAATATAATAAATAAGCGCCTTCAAAGAAAATTTCTAAGTAAACTTGTAACTACACCGTGCCTATGTTGTTACGAATGAGTATAAAAGAAAGTTGCTGAGCGAAAGAAAATGAATTAAAAATACTCGTTCAGATTGGTAAGTTTCGCAATACTTTGGAAATTTGTTGGCAACGTTAACACAGCTCTCCGTAACGAAACGTGAATAAATTGAAAATAAGCAGAGAGACGCGGTCATTTGTAACTTTAGGGAAAGCATTTTAATATTTTTTGAAAGTCGACGATGAATTGAGAACTGCCATAACGGAGGTAGGAAAAGTTTAAACGTAATTCAGTAAGTCAGCCTCGTTGAGAGGCTTACATAAAGTCCTTTGTTTACCTCGTATGCACACAAAAACTAAATACAACAATTCCCATCTGAAATAATGTTAAAGGGTTTGGATGTAACATTTAATGAAAGTTAAGTCGGCACGGTGTGTAGCCAACGGCTGTATGAAACTAAACACCTTGTTTTAGTTTACTCAACGATTCTACAAACTCAATTAGCATTACAATCTCTGAGTCACTTTAGGCGAAATGAAATTATGTAGGAAATAAACGCGGTTTAGTGGATGCGCCAAACATGAATATTTTCCGGGTAACGTTTCCTATTCCGCGGTGTTTATATCGGTATAATTTGTTACGGTTTACGGTTATGATATATTAAAGTGTCTGTCTAGGGACAACGACCAGGTACCGAGGTTCGGGTTTACCGGTATTAAGCCTAGAGTCAGTTGGCTTCGTATTCGAACACGAGTTTCCGAATCAGCTAAATTTCCGAAGCGAGTGAGAAAATTGTGAGCCCGTGGAACCTAGGCTCAACGGTGGCAGTGTACGAACGGAATCGCTTACGTAATAGCTAATACAGGTTTGAATAGTGATTACCGTTGGAACAGTGGTATCATAATATGTAATCATGTTCAATCTAAATGACAGGGCTATTTAAAGGTGCTTCTATACCTCTACAATCTAGAGGTATTATCTACAATTCTACATTCAATCAAGAATAGTAGCTTATATTTCTAAAGAGTGGTAATAAAATGTCACAATATGAATGTTTCTATTATAACGTAGGGTAAATTATACTACTACCATTTATTTACAATGGCATACATTATATATTTTCTTTCTACCGTATATCAAATACTAACAAAATTGAACTGCTTCCGAAGCCGGTCCAAGGTTAAGCCCAGCGATATAATACTAACCTTAAATATCTAAATATTCAAAACAAAGTGAGTCTTTATTAGCATCACTCCTAAAATAAATTATTTTACCCTATGAATATTCAAATAAATGTTTCGGGTAATACTAAATAATATTCATAGTTTTAAGCACCTACCCGAACTTGAATGGCTGCGTAAAAATATGTAACAGTTACAAAATCTAACCTTGTCCTACTAAACGAGCTTGACCCAAAAATGATGTACAAAAATTTCAGCAATGTAGGAAAAACATAACAACACGCGTGAAATTTCATGAAACGGCTACCAATTTAAACTGTCAAACACCAAGCGGTCACCGGTGTCCGCGACCTATTGTTCTTTAATTGTGTCTATAAAACCGGTACTCGACGAGTTAAATAAAAACACCAACTTTTCAGCGGTTACGAATCACAGAACACCGATACACCGAGCATAACTTCAGTACGGTTGTTCATAACATAATAAAAAAAAATTTAAACTCTGTAATTGAACAATGCTTTTTCAACTGATCTCAAATCAAGTACAGGAGACATTTTTTACTTAATGAAATATTTTACCTCAGAACGCAGTAAATATTTGGCAAGTTCGAATGTTTTTTTCTTATAGATATCATGGCTCGCATAAATAAATATTGAAACATTGGACATCTACAATCTAGTATCAACTATATTTGTACCGTTATAAAGTTGAGATTCAAATAGCATAATATCTGGTTCAGAGATGCGAAGCTTCCCTTTAGTAAACAACTCAAGATTGAATATGAAAATTTAATCGACTAATTTAATCGAAGAGAGATACCATGTAGGCGTCGACGGCTGAGTTATTAAACGTCTCCGCGTAGGCATTCACTCTGTAAATGTGAATAATAAAATGTTGGTACTTCTGTATCTTCCTTACTACATGAGATTAAAAGCACTAAATAACCAAAGAAAAGTCTACTTATATTCTCTTTCAATATTCTGCCAATCATTTAAAATTACAGTCGATCTGATAACTAAAGGAATGAAAGAGATATTTTATTCGCGAGGTCTAGAATTATTCAAGCTGAGACCTCCGAGCAGCGTTCATTTGTAAGCCGCCGAAGTTTGACAAGTTAGGTTGCATTTAAATGCTGCCGGTAGAAGATTCAACACCAAGCCGTACTCGAAATTAGCATTTTTCAAAGTCGTGCCAGCCTGATGGCTGCGCATTTTCGCCAGACTCGTTTCTATACTACATGCACGCGTTGCTTTTTACGAAATCTTACCGAACATTTCCGGATAAACTTGGACAAATATTAAAGTTTTCGCATTACACCAAGCACTTGTAATAACATTAACAAATAGAAGTAGCCTTGAAGAAACCCGGGCGCAGTGGAGCTGACGTGAACTGCATAAATAAAGGGAAATCCCGCCGCTATGAAATTCATATTTAAAAAATGTTAGCTGAGTAATAGTCTTCTTTGGGGAAAAATAATAGATTCCTTTACTCCTGCGATGAAAATGACCTGAATTAAATTTTCACATTCAATCGTGGCTGTTTGCCCCTGAGAGTGATCGCGGGCCGCCGCCGCATCGCCCCCGTCCCGCGCACGTCCCGCTACAGTCTGTCGGTTCTCATCATACCTATTTTTGTTTTTCGGCAATATAATCGCAGACAAAATTATACATTACGTTTGGAAGAGTTATGGCTATACCACAAGGAATACTCTATCGAACTCTATTAGACATCTCGTGATGTATGTGTAACCTTGGATGTGAACGTAAGTAGGTACCTATAGTTACGTTTTCAGTTAGTAATTTTTTTAAGAGAAGGAACACACTTTTTTTCAATTTTACAAAGGTTTCTAACAATTAATCATTTAGCTATTCAGAACTACACTCCTATTCAAAGGAAAATATTGAAGTAAATAATGAAATGAAGGATATTCTAATATAAACATGACATACCTAGTATCATTAAAATTACAGGTTCAACAAATACTTGGCTTGTGTAAATGTAAATAGATGTAACACAACTATGATTCTAGTCTTCATTAATTCAATATTCAGTTTAGACTAAGTTAATAAATCCGTCTGGTTTGGGATCACTTAAATTAGTGTAGGTAGGTATTTAATCAAGCAATCGACAAATTAATCTGAAACCCAAGTTTCAGTAACTTCATCTGTTTACATATCGCGGGAATGTTGTCTAGATTATTTAACTTAGCCATTAAGTCGAGCCAGATAAAATATTAGATCGTACTGAAACCACTTAGAGCTATTTCCCCGGGATTGCGTGATAGCAACACTTAATTTACAAGCTCCATTTAATTTGAACTATTTTGAGGCTCAGGCAGGAATTTAAATATCTGCAGATAAGGAGCTCACGCGAATTGTTCGCTGCCGCCGCGCCGCCGCGCCGCGCGCTCCAACGACTGAG